GGGTCATACGACGGGAAGGGGTGCGAGTGCTACGGGGAACAACACAATGGGAAGAGGAGTGCGAAATCTCCCTTATCACGAATATCTCAAGAGAAGGGAAGAGGGACGTTGTTTTCGGTGTGGGGGGCAATTTACCCCTGGACATCGTTGTCCGGAACGCAGCTTGAGGGTGTTGATTTTGGGCGAGGATGAGGAGGAAGAACCTGGAGAAACTGAAGTGAAGGTGGAAAATGAGAGGTTAGAATTATCTTTCTTCTCTGCAGGAGGATTGACTCAACCGAAAACCATGAAACTTCAAGGAAGATTGGGTGATAGGGTGGTGTTGATCATGGTTGACAGTGGTGCTAGCCACAATTTTATATCCCATTGGTTGAGGAGCTGCAAATGGAGGTAGATAAAGGCCAGATTCATTCGGTCTGTTTGGGGGACGGACAGAGGAAACAAACCCAGGGTTGTTGCAAAGGGGTAGTAATACATATGGGGGATATTGAAGTTACGGAGCAATATTATGTTTTCGATTTAGGAGGTGTAGACCTGATTCTAGGGGTAGAATGGTTGACTAAGTTGGGGGAAGTAGTGAATAATTGGGGTAATTTAACCATGAAGTTCCAACAAGGAGGACAAGAAGTGATGATCCGAGGGGATCCGACTTTGGCTAGGGAGATAATAGCACCCGAAGCGCTGCTCAAAATTACTGAGGCAGAGGCGATAGCAGTAATATGGGGGTTAAGACAAATGGAAGTACCTATAGGAGAAGGGGAGAAGCAAGATCTGACAGAAAAACAGGGGAGTGAGTTGGAAAAATTGCTGGAAAAATATCAGCAAGTGTTTCATGAGCCTCAAGATTTACCGCCAGAAAGAGAGAGTGAGCACAAGATAATTCTGAAAGAAGGAACAGGCCCCATTAATGTGCGCCCTTACAGATATCCACACTTATTGAAGGGGGAAATAGAAAAGCAGGTGGAGGAAATGCTAAAAAATGGGATTATTCGACCTAGTACTAGCCCTTATTCTAGTCCAGTCATTCTAGTCAAGAAGAAGGATGGAAGCTGGCGTTTCTGCATAGACTATCGGGCCCTTAATCGAGCCACAATACCCGATAAATTTCCCATTCCGGTAATAGAAGAGTTGCTTGATGAATTAGGAGGGGCGCAGTATTTCTCCAAGATAGATCTTAAGGCCGGCTACCACCAAATTAGGATGGGAAAGGAGGATATCCACAAGACCGCTTTTAGAACACACCAAGGGCACTACGAATTTTTGGTGATGCCCTTCGGGCTTACCAATGCCCCAGCCACGTTTCAAAGTGCCATGAATTCCTTGTTGAGACAATATTTGAGACAATTTGTGTTGGTATTCTTTGACGACATTTTGGTCTATAGTAGGACTTGGAAAGAACATCTGGAGCATGTGGGGTGTGTGTTGAACACTTTGATGCAGCATCAATGGGTGGCGAATCATAAGAAGTGTGAGTTTGGAAAAAAACATATTAGATACTTAGGCCACTTGATATCCGAAAAAGGGGTAGAAATGGATAAAGAAAAAGTGGAAGCTGTTCTGGGATGGGAGGAACCCAAGACCATCAAAGCTTTGAGAGGATTCTTGGGATTGACTGGATATTATAGGAGATTCGTTCGGGATTATGGCAAGATTGCCCGCCCTCTAACAGACATGTTGAAGAAGGGCAGTTTTATGTGGACAGATGTGGCCAGGGAAGCAATGGGGAAATTGAAAACAGCCATGACTAATGCACCAGTTTTGGCATTGCCTGATTTTACTCAGGCCTTCCATGTTGAGTGTGACGTGTCTGGAGTGGGAGTGGGAGCAGTGTTAACGCAAAACAGGCGGCCAATCGCTTTCTTCAGTAAAGCTTTGGCTGAAGGATCATTGAGCAAGTCAATTTATGAGAAGGAGCTCATGGCCCTTGTGATGGCAATACAGCACTGGCGGCCTTACCTCCTAGGCCAGAAGTTCGTGGTCCATACTGACCAAAGAAGCTTGAGATACTTGTTAGAACAGAGAATAACAACCCAGAATCAACAGAACTGGATTGCTAAACTCTTGGACTATGATTTTGATATAATCTATAAAACGGGAGCTATGAATAAGGTAGCGAACGCATTGTCACGGAGGGGAATGGAGGCAATAGAGGAGAAAGTAAGGGGGTCCAGGAGTGTAGAGGAGGGGGAGACAGAGTTGAACATAATTGTCAGACCCTATTGGAGAGAATTCAAGGAGGTATTAGAGGAGGTGGAGGAAGATGGAGAGCTCCAGAAAATTGTGGAAAAAATTACCAAAAATCCTGATATGCATCTCCCATTTACCTTGGAGAATGGAAGGTTACACTACAAGGGCAGGCTGGTGTTGTCAGCTAAGTCGAAGTGGATCCCGAAAATTCTAGCTGAACTGCATGCATCGACCACTAGGGGACATTCAGGGATATACCGCACATACCGAAGAGTGGCCCAATCCTTGTATTGGATAGGGATGAAAAAGGATGTGACAGAATATGTGGCACATTGTTTAGTATGTCAACAGCACAAGTATCAGGCGGCTTCACCTCAAGGGTTGCTGCAACCCTTACCCATTCCCCAACAAATATGGGAAGAGATCAGTATGGATTTCATTGTTAGACTTCCAAAATCCAAGGGATATGATGCTGTGTTGGTAGTGGTAGACCGTCTCAGTAAGTATGGTCATTTCATTCCCCTGAAGCATCCTTATACAGCTCGCATGGTGGCAGAGTTATTTGTGAGAGAAGTGGTTAAGTTGCACGGGGTACCCAAGTCAATAGTAAGTGATAGGGATCCCTTATTTCTGAGTTTGTTCTGGAAAGAGTTGTTTAAGCTGCAGGGAACAAAACTTGAGATGAGCACCGCGTATCACCCCGAGTCGGATGGACAGACGGAGGTGTTAAATAGGATCCTGGAAGGGTACTTACGCTGTTTTTGTTCGGAGCAGCCCAAGGGCTGGAGTGTTATACTGCCTTGGGCAGAATACTGGTACAACACCAGCTACCAAGGAGCAGCAAAATGCACGCCTTTTGAAACAGTTTACGGGCGAGTTCCCCCAACTTTGATCAGATTCGTTCCCGGGGAGACTTTGGTTGAAGCGGTGGCACAAGATTTGAAGACGAGGGATGAGGCACTCCAGCAACTAAAATTCCATTTGAACCGAGCCCAAGAAGCCATGGTAAAACAGGCGAATCGTAGTAGGAAACCGGTGACAATTAAGGTGGACGACTGGGTCTATCTGAAGATTAGACCTCATAAACAGTCTTCCATGCCAACCAAGATACACCCGAAACTAGCTGCTAGATACTATGGACCATTTAAAGTGGTGCAACAGGTGGGGAAGGTGGCCTTCAGATTATTGTTGCCAGACAGTGCTCGAATACATCCTGTATTCCACGCATCACAGTTGAAATTGGCCATTGGAGCGAAGAGTGTAGAGCGGGAGCTGCCAGCTGATCTGCATATGGAGGGCCCAACTATTTGGCCAATACGTATTATGAATAGAAGACAACAGCAGCTAGAAGAAGAGACCAGAGAGCAATTGCTAATTGAATGGAATGAAGGAGGGGTGGATGGAGCGACATGGGAAGACAAAATTACTATCCAAGAGCAATTCCCAGAATTTAACCTTGGGGACAAGGTTCCTCTTCAGGATGGGGGTAATGTTAGGGGTTGGATAGTTTATGAAAGAAGGAAGAAAAAGAAGGCCTAACTGCCTTAGCGGTGAAGCGGTGAGAAATAGGGCGGGTAGTATGGGTATATAAGGAATAACACTTTTTATTGTGATTAGACAGAGAGAAAAATCATATACTTTGTATAGACCGGTGGCAACACCTGGTGAGAGGGGTTATGCCCTCATCTTACACGTGTTTCTCCTTATTCATTTCACAGAATAAAATATCCATTATTTGATTCTTTCTGTTGAGTGAGTGTGCGTTATAGTGACCGAGAGATACGATTAGGATCCTATTATCGGATTCCTAACAGGTAACCTCTGAATTTTTTTTGTTTGTATTAATTCTGTTCAATAATGGGTGATGGACTTTAACATAGGACCTAGGATGTGGAAGGATCGATCTTATAGTGAATAGGAGAAGTATATGGGCACTTTCTAAGGCTAACCAAACTGAGAGAATAATTGATGCCCCTGCATACTCACAGGATAACAAAAGAAAGAGATAACAAGGGATAAGATCTCTAGTCTTGACTAGAGATGGAAAATGGAAAGAGATCCAAAATCATAGGACTTAAATCAATTAAGGATTCTACTGAATGAAATCCAACCTATAAAGAAACAAAATAAAACTCTAATTGGGAGAACTAGGCTGTCTTGGCTGCAGCTGCCTTGCTTCTCCAATGTTGTTATTATGTCATCCCACAAAGGAATCCAGATAACAGGCCATAAAATGAAAGACCATACAAACAATGTCTAACTCAGTCTACCTAAATTTTTAAAAAAAATAAGGGACTTTGATTGACTTGAGATTGAAAAGAAATCATTTTTAAGGACTTAATTGATCCCTCTCGTAATCTTTTATTTATAAAAATAAATTGATACAAGAATACATGATAATTAGGGTAACCTTAGACACAATATAATCATGATAAATAAGGTAACCTAGACACAATATAGTCATGATAAATAGGTAACCTAGACACAATATAGTCATGATAAATAGAAATGTACAACATATCTTATCACTCCCATCCCGTTGGTATACCCGTCTCTTTTCACAGTTTCACTTCCATAACAGTTTTCAATAAATGGTAATCATGATTTGTTGAGATAAAAATCTGACATGATTAAATGCCAAACAGTTAGACCATTTGGAGGAAAGAAAATCCTTTTATTCTTTAAGAGAAAAATCACCATGCAAAAGAACAATCAGTTCAGTATTCAAACTATATATTCTTTGTATAAAAGGTAAAAGAACTGCTCCAGACAATTTAGAGACAAACAAGTAATATAATATGAAGACAACATACCCATTGCGGAACTATTAGAATGCTTTCTTTTGCAGACTTTTCTTGAAGCAGCATAGATAGAGCTGCCAATGCCTTAAGCTGTGAAAAAGAAAATGAAAAATAAGAAGCCTTAAGCACAAACTCACTTATAAGTGATGTCATGTGCTCACTTGAGCGAACACATAAGCAATAGATTTTATAAACAGCAAAACTTGCTTAAGCGAGTGAAAATGATAAGGCAGCATGAAATAAAATCTCTCAAATAAAGAAGCACTTATGCAATCACTTTTAGACCAAAGATTTTGGATGTCTAAAATACTTTCTAGACAGTGAAGTGGCTTACTTAAAGAAAGGTATTGCAATTTCTCAAAGGTAATATACTTTAGATGTGCAAAAAGAAACAAGCATCATTGGTTTTACTCTCGTAGATACTCCTATCGATTCAAACCAAAAATTAATGACAAAATAAAGTGAACCTTTCTCAGAATCAAAGAGATACAGAACACTTGTTAGAAAACTTATTTATCTCACTATTACTAGATCTGAAAAAAAATGCACTTGGTGTGACAAGTTGTTTTTATTGATCATTGCAATGTTATCATTCACATCCTTATATACGTCAAAAATGCTCTAAGAGAAAGTATGGTAAATGAAGATAAAAGAAATAACCAAATCTTTGGGAATTGTGGTACTGACTAAACACAATCTTCTATAGACAACCGTTCCACTATTGCATATTATGTTTTCATTGGAAGGAGTATTAATATCTTGGAAAAACAAAAAATATAATGTAATTTCCCAATCAAGTTTTGAAGTTGAATATAGGGCAACAGTGTGACTCACTTGTGAACTTGTGTGGATAAAACAATTTCTCCAAGAACTGAAATCTTGTGAAACCAATAAATAAGGAAGTCTTGTGATAACCAAATAGCTCTTCACATCATTTCCAACCCCATGTTTCATGAGAGAATCAAACACATAGAAATTGACCATAATTTTAATTAAGAAAAGTTGTTGTTCAAGAAAATGTGTATTATGTTTATTAGCTCCAATGATCAACTTGAAATATTTTGACAAAAACCCAAAGAAGACCTCGGTCGGACCTTGTTCCTAAGTTCGTACATACTATTTGTATCAGCTTCAGGTGAAGTGTTACAATAGTTTATATTATCTCCTAAGCAACTTTGTAGAAGTTGCCTTTCATGGTATCTATTTGTCATCTAGAACATGTGAACTTTATTTTGTTTTTTGTTCTGTCTTTCTACTTCCGTTGCAAGATACACATCTCTCTTTCTCTTTCTACATATATATGAATCTGAAGATAGACCTCACAAGTACCTTTTCTCATATTATTTTTCTAACGTATAGTGTCCTTTTTCATGTATGATGTGTGTATGAGATTCATCGCCTTCCATTCGTTTTATTGGTATTTGATTGACAAAAAAAGATAATTTTAAACCTAGAATCTAGGAAGAACACCTCATTGATTAATACTATAACTAGTTGCAGATGAGCATGTCAGATATATCTCCAAACTAGCTCACAAGTTAATCCAAATTTACCTTAGTGGTGGGATCCTTCCTGCCTAGCCTCTTCAAGTGAACCGCAAGCTCACTATCAACATCCTGCATATCCAAAATATCAATATATTGGCATTAAGGCAAGGATTGAAATTTTGTCAACTAAGCAACACTAACAGACTAGTCAGCTCTACTAACTCAATTCCAACTCAGCACAAAACTCTCGTACAAACACAGAATGAAAGACACCGCAAATTAAAAGTTCGAACTTAGTTCATCCCAGTAGCACATGCGTTCTAATTATGAACTCAATTTATTGAACCAGAACATGAAACTCGCTGCAGCAGTACCATTCCAGTATATTAATTATGACCACAAAAACAGACCTAATCAATACTCGATTATAACTACAGTCATAAATAACACAAAATTGAACAGGAAATAGAACTCTCTCACAACAACCATCTTCAAAAGTAAAAAATAGCATAAAACTAGAAACACATACGACAAAGGGGAGGGAGTCCTCGGACGAAGAAGGAAGATCAAGGCGCGAGCTGCCGACAAAACCACCGAATCCGACGGCGGCAGCGGCGGCGGGGCCGGAAGGCAAGAGCGAGGCGGCGAGACTGCGAGGAAGAAGAATCGATAAGACGAGGAAGACGAAGTAGAAATTTCAAATTAGGTATTGACGCTAACCTGCTACTGGAAGGGCGTGACTTGCTTCTGGCGTTTTCTCCTTTCTGCTTTCCCATTATTCTCTTTGTAATGCGTAAGCAAATTCCTCTTGTTTTGTGGAAGTGCTAGTTAGGGAAACGAAGAAGAGCGAATAAATACAGTAATAACAGAGTCACCGTGCGTCGTTTGGCAAATGAAATCTTCAGCTACTGAATATTTATATATTAGTGCTTTGACGATGTTGGTGAGAATCGCAGAGAGAATTGCGAGAAATGTCGAAGGCGAGTTTACGATTTGCAGCTAATTTATACCAATCACGTCGCACCGTATTGACAAGTAATCGAAGAGTATTTTATGTCACGCGTAACTTTAAACTACCAGATAGAAGATATTAGATAAAATATGATATTCTATTAAATACGATTATTAAATAAGATTTTTATCATATTTTTCAACGTTAAATATGTTTTGAATACCTAAACTATCAAGCGAATTTGTTTTTAGTCCCTCTTTTAAAATAAGGTACATTTTAATCATTCTTCTTAAGGAAACTTCATTTTTGATCCTCTAAAACTAATAAGTTAAAAACTAACTGATGTGGCTAACGGTAGTATGTCACGTATTTTTATTTTCTGACATGTTTCCCAACTTTTCTCCTTCTCTCTCCCTCTGACTCGTTCCTTTCATCTTCGCCCCTCTACCATCAAACCTCAACTCTCCTTCTCTCACGGGAAAAGACACCACTATGCTGGCGATGTTTTATTGCAGCTATTGTCCCAAAAGACTCCAACAAAGTTTTGTTCACTGGCCGAAAAAACCCATTCCCAATTACCCTTGAGGCATGAAAACCCTTAATGGCCAAAACCTTTCTTCTTCCTCAAACCACGCCACTTCAGTAATGAAACATACCCCAAAACCACAAGCACCAGGCAAAAAAAAGTAGGACCAGTTGGCAACACAAAGACCGAACAAAATTCTCTTACCACGATTCTTACTACCCTAAGTGGAATTAGAAGAAATAGGAGTTGAGGAAGAAGGAGAAAGTGGAGGAGGGTGTGGAGGAGGGGGTGGTGCTGGTGACGGAAAAGGTGAAGTTGGTGGAGAGAGAAAAAAAAGGGGTGGTTGACGGAGGGGGTGTTTCATTAGCCCTCAGCTTTGACGATGATGGTGGGCTTCCTAGTAGATTGCTTCACAATTCGAATTCGCGATTCTGGTTTGCTTATGGGAGCAGAATGACGGCGGCGTGAACTAGTTTCACCTGGTACCGCGGTCGTTGTTCTGGTTTTTAATTCGTAAGGTTTGAGAGGTAAGGATGGAGGCGAAGGAGACAAACTCAAGGTGCTCCAGTGACAGCGGCGCCTGATGGCGCGACGAAGGTTGATGAACGAACCTGATTTGGGGGTTCTCTCTACTTCGAAGGCGTGCTGGATCTGAACCGCAAGAGACGCAATTTTGCAGAGGTGCTTCGGCGGCGTCAATGGCTGCCATGGGGTTCGTTGTTTTCTCATTGCAGGTTGTGCGATGACGATGGAGGACAATCCCGGCGACGATGCGACGGGGGAGCAGTAGCGTTGTGGCGATTTTGGTTGTGAGCAACAACGCTGATGGAAATTCTCGCCGGCGATGGCGGTGGTGGAAATCCAGCCGCAAGAACGGTGCATTGCAGGTGAGAGAGAGGGAGAAAAGGTTAGAAAGTGTAAGAAAAAAAAATTGTGTCAGTCTACCGTTAACCACATCAGCTGGTTTTTAACACCTAGTTTTTGAGGACTAAAATCAAAGTTTATCTAAGGAGAAAGACTAAAATGTACCTTACGAAAGAGGGACTAAAACCAAAACCGCTTGATAGTATTGGGACTAAAAACATATTTAACCCTATTTTTCATAAAAAAATAAGTATCCAACCTTAATTACAGACTAATTTTCTTTAGCAAAAAATATTGAAATAAATTTTATTTATGATGCATTATAAATATTCTTTTGACGTCTTTCACTTTTTTTTTAATCTCGTCTTAACATATTTTTTATACTTTCTATTTGGTTAATTGAAGTGATAGTTCTTAACTTTTTTTATATGAAAGAAATATCTTTTGAAAATAGAATCTAAACAGACAAAGCGTGAATTATCTTAAACCCTTTAAGATAAATTAAAGTAAAAATATGATCAAACATTTCAAGAATTATATTTTTTTAAAATATTATTGTTTGAAAATTATACTTTAATTTTTATCTAATTTTAACCCATCCGAATTTTACTTTAAGGTATTATGTCAAATTAATAAATATAATGATCATGGGTATTGATTTAAACAATTTATTTTTATATTTTTCCTTGAATTTTAAAAGTTTATTTCCTTTTTAACCTTTTTAAAGTGTCATCAATAATAACAAGCATATCTCAATCGGGCCATTATTTATTTTACTTATTTTTATTTCTTACATGTATTTTTTATTTCTATATTTAAATTTCAAAATATTAATACCGTGGTGGTAAAGTTGCTAAATCATTTTGCTTTGTGGTATATATTCGTAATTTATGTCTAAAGTCATCTTTATATTTGAGATCAAAAGCAATTATATTTGCAACAAATCAGTTAGTTATTTAAGTAAAATCTATTTGAACTCATTTATGTTAACAATACTTAATGTTGTTCGTTTAGGGCGCATTAATGCTTTGTTCACTTCAATGGATTTGGGGAGAGTCATTGAGAAGATTTGAAAGTAAATTTTGTTGTTGTTTATTTGACTGAATTTGGAGGTAAGTGAGAGTAGATTTGGAAGTAAAATTTTTTAATCTGTCACATCAATCAAATCCTATACTAATTCTCACAAACTTTACTTCCAAATCCACGCTTATCTCTAAATCCACTCAAATAAACAACAACAAAATTTACCTCTCAAATCCCTTCAATCATTTTTCTTCAAATCCATTTCAAGTGAACAAAGCCTAAAATAATTTAAAACGTACTATAGTAAAAAATACTTGTCACGTAAGAGAGAAAAACTCATTAGCAAAATTATTTGGTGTTTTAACCACTTAAAAATATAATATCTTGCAAAAAAAAAATGTTAATTCAACTCATCAAGTTATTTTGATAAGGATAAGTTAGTTGACATTTAAATTAAGAAGTATAATGCATTGCGTCTAAAGAAGAAAAAACAATTAGTTTGAACTTAATTAATAAACTATTTGTTCAAAACAAAATAATAATTATACTTTTTGAATTTTGATTTTTCTAATTATTGTTATTAAGATTTTTTATTGAAATTATGAATATTATTAATCATAATAATTGGATTTAAACATTTCTCTAAATATTTAATTAATCATTTGGAATCACCCATGTTATGGGATATGTGTATTTCTATTTAATATTCGAGAAAACTGAACCTGCATTTACACTTTTTCTTGTAAACTTACATGCTGCTAACTTGCACAGCTTGTTTCATATTGTCATTCCTATTGACATTTAAACTATTTCGAGATTGATATGTAAATTTCGAATTTAAAAAGATATGTATTAATGAATCATAGAATTTTTTAACTCACATAAATTGTCATTCTCTTTTTCAAAAATTTACATATGATTTTCAATTATTTTTCTTATTTCTGTCAATAATAAAATTGTTTTTGTCATTATCATGTGTTAAGTGATAACATTTCCGGCAAGATTGAAATTTCTTTTTTTGTTTTACTTTGGTCTTCAATAATTTTCTACATTTGGTTTTTGTTTCTCAATAATTTTTTCCAATTAGGTCCCTACAATTCTTATTTTTGTTTTAGGCTTTATCATTTATTAACATATTCTAGGGGATGAGTTGGCTTCTAAGTGACCATTTCAGCAGATGTAAACTTTGGCAAACTTTCACCGATAAATAATATCAAGAAATGTGTTTATCCAAACACATCATTATGAAATAAATTAAGCAATGCTAGTACATTACTGTTGTTAATGCTGAATAACTAACAGCTTGTTTGCCTTTTGTGTTACATACCCAAAACTACATTAAAAGAAACAAAAAAACGCAGAAGCAAAATTGTTAGCTTCGATGGGAATGGGATCTAACTTGTGCTGATAGATTATCAATCAAACACTTACGAAGACTACATTTACTTGACTTTTGAGAACAAAAACACAGGTCAAATACAACAGAACGATACTAGCATAATAGTCGATCCAAATGTGTCCAATTTCACTAAATAAATACATTGATTGCTGAATCAAATTTCAGTACAGATATTTTGTTTGACCAGTCTCTGGTTCTCTCTGGTTGGATCTGTATTCTAAATGTGGATGCTTCCTCCAAATCTATATCTATATTTTCATACATACTGGCTACGTTCCAAATGAATGGTGAGAATGAAGATAGGTGAAATAAAAGTATTATCCAATAGGGATAAATGACAAATCATTCATGAGTTGCCCAGTTCAATAACAATGAAAATGTTTCTGGGGATAGGATCTAGCACGGTTTAAATAAAACATTGCTTCCTATAAAGAACAATATCCCATTTGTTCCCCTTATTAGTCAATGGATGAACCGATGTTATGAGAAAAATAAATGTGTATGAGTGAGACAGAAAGATCATCAAAGACACATTAATCAAAACCATTTTTTCTCCTTGCAGTTTCATTTGGGTCAATGACACTACTTTCTTCCACTTAAAAATATTACAAACATAGCCACGATTAGAGCATGATCAATAGTCCCCGGAAAGATTGTTAGACGAAATTTTCCCCTACTGACAAATATTTGGTGGAGCTTGTACATCAGGCTACTCTGCACAAAAGTGTAATGAACAAGTAAACCTGAATCAGTTGTTTTGATACCTTGGATTGTATGAAATTTCAACACGGTAAACTTGTAAATCAGGCTCCTCTGTCGTAATATACAATTCTCAGCTTTAAACTATCATTATACTCATATCAAATCATGCCGGTAGTTTTAATTCATACACTGAATAATTCTGCTACATCACCTCCATATCTTCAATCTTCCGAGGTATAATGTATCTAATGCAACATTATTTGGAATCTACCTACTAGGATCAAGGAGTTTGTTTGTATGATGGGCATAGATTCAAACACCATTCCACCGCTGTATAATAAAAGAAAATGTATTGTTTGGATTCTGAATAGAGTGTTTCTTGGGTTCCCAAACATAATTTCAATTATACATGGACGGATGGTAACTATTTGTCTATGAGTAACAAATAATTTACGACATAAGTATAGCATGAATTTAGTACCTGTGCAACCAAGTCAGCATCTTTATAGATGCAGCATGATCTCTGAAAAGGTGAACCCTTCACTTTCCAATCACAAACTTCATCATTGGATCTTCCACTCTCAAAAAGTACCTCTAACTCAACTCTAGTAAATGTTTTGAGGGTCCTCTGCACTCTAAACACCAGCTCCCTATTCCCATCACTGTCTCCCTTATAGCACTTCCAAGACCCATTCTATCAAATGAAAAAGAAAAATCAATTTTTTAAGAAAAGGAAAACTTTATTTATTTCATTAAGAAAGATAAATTAAGATAAGGGAAACAGACATGATAGCTGTAGATGGAGAAGAGGGTATGGCCTGAGGCATCCAGCAATACTTTCTTGTCCTTGGGAAGGGGCGATGAGTTAGGATTGGGTGGGTGGCGGTTCACCCTGAAGACTACGTTATCAGACTCATCTGCAAATGCTAGAACACCACGAGGGACTCCGGCATGCTTTTTGGAACCGAACAGATCAATTGGGATCTCCCAGTTCCCTGAACCTGGATATGATGACTCTGAGGTTCCCAATTCCATTTTTCCTTGTTTATTTGCACAAAAATTATTAAAAGAAAAATTAAAATTAAGGAAAGGAAAGACCTTTCAGGAGACGCATCTAACTCAGCAAGTAGCACCACTACAATCCAAGAGAACAAAAAAACATGTATCTCTATTTTCACTCTAAACATGCTTATATTCAATATTCGTGATCTGTGATGAACTAATTGATATAAAGGGGACGGCATCAAAAGTGGTATATAGAATACATAATTAATTGCATTTAAGTATGCTACACATTTTCGTGAACAAGCACAGAAGTTAATCCAAAATTACCTCAGTGGAGGAATCCTTCCTGCCTTTAACTGAACCACAATCTCACTATCAGCATCCCGCAAATGATAAAACAACACAACATTGAGACATTAAAATCTGATCACAGAGCAAAATTGGCAATCTATTCCAAGCTGCAAGCACGCCTCATGGTACATTACTCATGGAATGGAAAACATTTGTTACTTCAAACTCAGTTTACTAGAAGAAAGACATGTAACCAGCAGCAGTTCCATTAAGTTTAAGACGTTCTTTAGTCACAAACTTCGAAGTATTTTTCAGATTTTTTTTAGATCATCCTTACAGGAAAGAAGTTACACATTCCCCGTTAAAAAAAAAAACAAACACTTCCAACTGGTACTACCCAAACAGAGCCTAATTCCAAAATGTTAATAAAGAACTCGAAAAAAAAAATTGGACCTCCCAATACGATATGATAATTTTAAATTATAAATAAAATAAAATTGAGCTGAAATTGAAGTTTCTGTGAGCATACCAATATCCAGTAAAAGGGGGGGGAATACATACAAACGCAGACAGGGGAGAGAGTCTTGTGATGACAGAGAGGTGGATCAGACTAAAACTACAGACAAAAACACGGAACCCAATGGCGGAGATTGCGAGACTCGGGACGATGATTTCTCAATTTAGGGATTGGTTTAGAACGCCGAGCAATGAAGAAAGCGTGTTTATATGTTTATTTCTTTTACAAGTTGGGTTTGGAAGATTCTGCTGAACAGTAATATGCAGTTCTGCAAGTACATTTTCAGACTTTTATTCGTTGTGGAAAGGTGAATTGAATCGGTTTCTATGAATGTGTAAAAATATGTATGTTTCATAATCATAGATTTTATCGAGTCTTAATCTGATTTTTGACATTTTATTATATTATATTATTTTAAACAACATTTTCTCACTTTTATTCTAATATAATAGTTTTATAATATTCGCATTGTAATTAAAGCTTTATTTAAGCGTTAGTTAAAAAATTCTAATTAAAATGTTTAACCTTTTATTAATTCTATTTCGAGTCCTGCAATGTAGATGTTTTCTATATATTATGTGAGGCATTAGTTTCGATAATCGCGACTAAAATACGGATAATTATTATATGTGAATATTTATTATTTGTGAATAAGAGGATATTTTAATATTCGTTTCTATACGACTCCAATGTGGGTATTATATTTTTTAAAATTAAATTTTTTTATTACTCTTAAAAGGGGAAATTTTAATAACAATGAATCAATGAATTAGAATTCCTTTCCATTACTTTTTTTTAAAAGAAAAAAAAATAGAATCTCAAACTCTCTCTTAACGGAGGACTCTTTTCTTTTTCCTTTTGGTTCAGCTCGCGCAGGGAGTAGGCTCAATTCCCTCTTCCTCTCTCTCTTTGGTTCTTATTGGGGTTTTATTTTGATTTGGGATTTGAAATTAGGGTTTTATTTGTTTTTTAATTTTGGGGGTTTCTTTTGTACGTTTTGATTCGCGTTTTGGGAGTTCGTTTCTTGATTTCTTCCATATTGATTGGTGACGCGATTTTGGGGTTATGATTCGAATGAGTGTTTTGAGTTTTTTTGGATTTTAGTTCATTGATGTAGATTGGATATTTGAAGACCCTGATGGTTATCGCGATTTGGAGATTTCTGTGATTACGTTCGTTTTCAGAATTTGGGTTTAGGGTTCCTGTTCGCGTTCTCTTGGAAATTCTTTATCTCTTTTTTTCATACATTGATAGGTATTTGTGGGTTAATCTTGTGACTAAATTCTTTATCTCCTTTTTCATACATTGATAGATATTTGTGGGTTAATCTTGTGACTAGATTGAGACTTCGGTTACTAGGTGTTTTGTTGTTCAATATTTGTTTTCTTTAACTTATTTAAAAATTATATTGTGTCTTTTTTTAATATGTAACAAATATATTAAATTGTTCTTTTTAACTTGTAGTTTAATTTAAACCTTATTTAAAAATTCAAAAAATATATTTTTTAAATATTTGTGGGTTGAAAACGGGTATCCAACGGATATCCGCGGGTTGAAAAAAATCCACGAATTTTTTTTATGCGGATATCCAGCGGGTAGCGGGTTGAATTGCGGGTACGATTTTTACATGCGAGTCGAGTTGCGGATAAACACTATCCGTGCCCGACCCGACCCATTACAATCCCTAGTTCCAACCAATCTAAGTGTATGACATAATTTAGAGAATCATTATATTATATATAATTATTCTATTATTATCATTATTATTATTACATCTTTTTGTTATATTTTAATAAAATAATTTTATTTTTTAATAAATAAAATGTAATTTCTTTATTTACTAGAATAAGTAATTGAATCATTTTTCTCATTTTCAAACTAATTAAATAACTTTTCTCCTTAAACATAATTACTGCATATTTTTTAGCATTATCTTTATAAATATATGTATATTAAATTATATTACTTTAGTATTTTGTAATATCATTTATACAAAATTATATATATTTTTTTAATCTGTATTTTTTTAATGTAATAAAAATTATGAATACACATAAATAAAAGTACATGTATTTTTGCTATTAATAATGTATAAATGTCCATCAAATGTTGTCTTCCTAGCCTTATGGACGGTAAAAGCAAAGATTAGAGGGTGTTGCTCCCTCCACCACCGTACCTTTCTCCCTTCACCTCCCCAATTTTTTTTAATTCCAATTATATCCTCAAATTAAAATTTTTTATCTATACTATTTTAATTTATTTCAAACCTAGTTCTCCTACTTTATTCCCTGCACTCAATCTTTCCATCTCTCAATTCCGTTTAACAATTTGTCTTCAGTTTTACTCTACAACTCCATTTGTCTTCTTCGTTTCACTTCTCCTCATCTGTTTCTTTCTTCTTCATTTTCCTTACATTATTAAAATACATTAAAAATATATTCAAAAATAATAAATCAAAACATTTAAATTAAATTATTAAAATATTTCTAAAATAAAGAATAAACTAATAAAACAAACCCTAAAATTAAAAACGTAGGTGACATCCTTCAACGGATGTTGACATCCGTTGAAGGATGTTGACATCCGTTGAAGGATGTTGACATCCGTTGAAGGATGTTGACATCCGTTGAAGGATGTTGACATCCGTTGAAGGATTTTGACATCCGTTGAAGGATGTCACCTCTGTTTAAAGGTTACGTTTTTTATTTTAGGGTTTTATTTGAAGGTTTATTTGAATACGCACCTTGAGGAAGTAACACACGCACTGCACCACTCCACACATTGCATCACGAGAGCGACACTACACCACGAGAGGGAGACTGCTTGATAATTCTTTCCACCACCATCAACCTTTACAACTTGTAGTATCTCACACCGACAAAAGAAAGAGAGGAAGAAATATAATGTTAAAGTAAAAGAAAAATATTTTACTCATATGCGAAGGACTGGAATAAGTTATTAGTGGAATAGGTTGTGAATGGGTAAAATTAAAAAATAACCCTAAAAAAAAATTTACTTAGGGGCAAAATAGTAAATGGGAGGTGGAGGGAGAAAGGTGTGGTGGTGGAGGGAGCAACACCCAAGATTAGAAACTAAAGACTACATGACAGGAACATAAATGGTTATGCGTTTTTTGCACATAGAGAAGAATATTAAACATTTTATTTTTATTTCTTTTCATCTATTTTCTCTTACTTTAGTTGACTCTCATGTTAGATCTTAGACCCTTTTTCACAATGAGAACTCTTTGTACTCTCTTCAAAACTATCATTAAAAGCAATAGAGTTATAACTTGGTTGTATGTATGTTAGCAACAATCTAATCAATTTTATTGCAAAGAAACGGCATAAATTAGGGAAGAAGAGTCATTACTGTAATTGTTAATATTATGAGATTCAAATTTAAATTCATCCGTTAAAAAAATTAAAAAAAATTCAATGTAGAATTTTTTTTATTTTCTTTTATCTAATGTTTATTTAATCCTTTATTGTGTTAATTTGTATGACTGTATAAGATTCAGTACTTAAGTCGGAAAAGTCCACGTTAATTAGTTAATAACATTTTGATGTTGCGTGGGATTGTCAGACCTCATTAAAACACACCCAAAACCTCTCTGCGCGGACGTTAGGTGTCAAGAAATTAGGATTTCTGAAATCAGATAGTGGAAGGCAGGTGTCGGCAGAAGAGAGGACGCTCGTTTGGACGTAGGAAGAAAATGATTGTTTCTGAAACTTTCGTCCCACTCTCCTCTGCATGCACCCTCCTTCCCAAACTCTGAACTTTCCATTTCTCCTCCTTCTCTCTAAAAACTCTCCCTTCTTTCTACCAAAACTCACCTTTTCTCCTCTCCGATCACCGTTCAGGCACCGTAGGAGCACTCCTGGCGTCCCAAGCTTCAATTTGAACCGAACAGTTTCGAGTTCTGAAACTGGTAAGTTTCCTTCCCCTTAGTCGTTCGTTCTTGTGAACATGCAAACCAAGTTCTGGTTGCATGAGTCCTTAGTTTAATTCTGAACCCTTTTGGTCCGTTGTTTGATTTTGGTTCGAAGAGTAGTTGAGCGTTGAGGGTAGAAGGAATCGTAGTTCGGCGAACTGAGTTCAGCCTGTAAGACGTTCGTTCACACTAGAGGTAAGGGAAGCTTATCTAATTTAATTGTATGTTGTTTGTACGTTCGTTGATAATGAATGCATGTTGCTGAGTGGTTGAATGTATATAAAGTGAGAATGCTGATATGCTTGTTTACATGGAACATGATTATTTACGATGATATAAATGGTATGAAAATTGATTACAATATGAATTTATAAAGTTATGAAATTATGTATTAAGACATGAGTTGAAGATAAATGAGATCTGAATATGAAATTTTTACTATGTTAAAGTACGTTCGTTACTGAACCGTCATTGACCGTTCGGTTTTTCTGGTGAACATAGTTAAAATGGGATTCTTTCATTTGGAGAGAATCCTAGTGTAGGACGAGCGCCCTCGTGTGGTAATACTATGCTTGAGCGTTCGGCCAAGCATATTTGTGCCTGAGTCTACTGTGATAAACTCAATATATATATATATATATATATATATATATATATAT